GGCCTTTTCCTGACAATCCTCTCCAGGCTGCGGTCATCCCTGCTGCTTGTGCACCATTTTCTTCCACATTTTTCCCTTCCACATAACTTTCTATTAATGTGCCATTTAAAGGCTCAGGAACCCTTTGCAGGTGTTATGGCTTAATTAGCCGATTAGAGTGGGACACTTTGAGCCTAGAATATTGCACCTTTTCACAATATTCTAATTTTCTGAGATTGTGGATTTGGGGTTTTCATGAGCAGTAAGCCATAATCATCACAATTATGACAAATCACGGCTTGAACTATCTTGCTTTGCATGTAATGAGTCTATCTCATATATTAGTTTCACCTTTTAAGTTGCATTACTGAAATAAATGAACTTTTGCACGATATTCAAATTTTTCGAGTTTCACCTATATATCCCCAATGGGAAAATATCTCTTCTCTTTCTACCTTACGCCCTTTCTTACAAAAGTTGCAATCACGTCCGTCTGTCCGTTTTCAGGCAGACCCGATCGGAACCTCCATTCTCCTCTATTACGCAAAGGGGAGTGAGCGAACATGTGTCTGTTTACACCTGCCTACGTTCCCTTTCCATCCAGCCGTTCAGATAGCATTCGGGTGTAAATGAACAGGTGGTCCGTTTATATCCGACCGCCATAGAGGAAAGCGGGCTGTGTCCGTGTCCATTCTGCATACCTGTCATCCACCTGCTTAGTGGGGATCAGTGGACAGATCCCCTTCTGAGCAAGCAGATCGCAGTCAGTATCCACCCCGTGCGAAAGGGGTCTTAGTGAAAATCATCAGTAGGAAAAGATAAAGAAAAACCTACACAGTGTCCCAGCATACAAAACCTGACAGAGATTCAGAAAAAAAACCAAAACAAAAACATATTGGATTAAGTTGAACTCCAAATGATTAAAATCCCATCAACTGTGAAAAAGCCACTACATTAACATAATGAAATATACCAAGCTCTAGAATAATGAAAAATATGCAAGTAACCATTGTAGAAAATTAACTGGGAAGGAAATACTTTAAAACATTAATTGCAGAAATGTTACAGCCCCCTCTGGAATTAAAGTGTTCTACAAAGAAAGAGTCATTCATTCATGCTTTTGACATTGTCCAGAGCTACAAAATGTTTCCATAGCAGCCCAGCTTTAGGATATCAAAGAGGGAGGAGATGTCAAACACAACATTAGTCAGTCCAAGGTTCACCAGCTGGTAATGGTTGCTTCTCTGTTTGGCTGGAGGAGAACAGCAAATATTTTATTCAAGATCCCGGAGAATACTGGAAAACAGGAAATGCACATTTCCCATGGGTATGGGGGGTGGTAATATGACTAGAGCTCACTTACTAGCTTTGGCATCTGTAATAACTATGCAAAACTTTTGCTGGTCATTTCAATGCACACTGGAGTGTAATTATTTGGTTCTGACTGCCATTTCTTTCAAAGATGCTTAAAGGATGCCTCTCAGAAGAAGAATATTAGCTGTCATACTGACCTCCTTCTAAAAATGCTTATTGCTTGGCTGTCTTTTTATATTTTGGCTTCAAAAAATGCTGAGTCCCTGACTTAGAAATGACTAAAGCCAAGACATAAAGCTGAATTGCAGGTATGACAATATTTGCATAGTTATATTGACCCAGCTTGGACCAATGTAAGTATGTATGTGCCATGTATGTAATTCGCCTGACCAATTTAACATAAGAATAAATTAGGAATATTTAAAGAAAAGAAATCACTGCTAAACCAAACGTTTTGTAAATGAAAGATATGAAAATGTATTTTATTTATTTGTTACAGCCACTTATATAGCACCTTCAATTTACACAGTGCTCTTACATATACAGTCATGGCCAAACATATTGGCACCCTGCATTTCTGTCAGATAATGTACCACTTCTCCCACAAGATTGTTGTAAGTACAAATGATTAGGCATTCTGTGTTTATTTAGTTTGTTTGTATTGCTATGGCACAAAAAAATGGAGAAATAAAAAGGCAAATCTACCAAATTCCACGCATAACCCCAAAAATGGACTGGACAAAATTATTGTCACTTTCTCAAAATTGTAAGAAATAATTGCATTCCAAGTTGATGATGCGCCTGTAATTTTTGATTAAACTCACCTGTATCAATTAACAATATTGCTGATAATATAGAAATCACACTGGCAATAAAATGGTGAAAAATTGCCACATGGAGCATGGAGAAGAGAAAGAGCAGCAATGAATTGTCTGAGGATTTGAGAACAAAAATTGTGGAAAAGCATGAACAATCTCAAAGTTACAAGTTTAAAAAAATATAAAAATAATCCCCCTGCGCTCCACTGGTAAGAACAAACACAACCCCAAATATATGCAAGCTGCTACCTCCTATACCCAATACCACAGGATGTATGACATAAAAAAAACAATATTGGTGAAGTGCTTCACATGAAAAACTAAATAAGTAGGTGCAATGATATAAAAATACATATAAAGTGACCACACTGTATTGAAAGGTATAGATAACTAGTGCTAAATAATCCCCCCAAAAAATATATAAGTGCCAAGTGCTAAAAGTGCAAAACAGGTCATGCATTTGCTGACTAGATCGTGCCAAAATACAAATATGCACACTAAACATAATACACAATAACACTGTACACTCTAACTAAAAGTGGAAAGTGCTCAGTATGGGTATGAATATTGGTTAAAAGTAAAACCACAATAAAGTGCAAAACAGGTCATGCATTTGCTGACTAAATCGTGCCAAAATACAATATATGCACAGTGAAATAATACACAATGACATTGCACACTCTATCTGAAGGTGACAGGTGCTCAGTATGAGTATGAATATTGGTAAAAAGTAAAATCCGCAATAAAGTGCAATAACAAAGTGCTTGTCATTTCATGTGCAAACAAACACCGCAATGTCAGTGCTTCAATTCTTCACTCCAAACATGATGCGTGTTAGCATGCCACACGTGTATATCGTAATCCAAAAGTGGCTAAAGTGCCTCCTCACCTTAACCATGCGACCCCTAAGGGAGAAAGAAAGAAAGAAAATCCCACATTGTCCCCAGAACAGTAAGAGGTGAAATCTTCCAATGGCGACATTGGTTCTGGTGACTAGGGTTGCCATCTCATCCCTTCAAAACCGAACACATATTCATTGTACAGTTCTGAGGCTAATATACTAGAGATAAGGCTCTAAATGAGTTTATTACCACCTTAATCATCCACAGAACTTGTGCAATTAATATGTATTTAGTTTTAAAGGGATGAGGTGGCAACCCTACTGGTGACAACCAGTGAGGTCCTCACTTTCCTCTCACTTCCTGTTTTGGCTATGGAACAGGAAATGAAGGGAAATCTTCCCAATAAGATACAGATGGCAAAAAAAACTTTCAGTGTTTATAGCCCTTCCTTACTCTATTCAAAATGGAAACAAAAAAGTTTTGCCTATAGTTGTTTAAACTCCTTGCTCCAAATCTGGGGCTTGGAAGAATTCCCTTTGGACCAGTTTGGTTTCCAGGTTACCAGCAAGATTTTCAGAAGAGGTCAGCAGTGCCATCCTGCATCCCTGCCTTCAGCTCCGCACAGCGCCCTCTAGGGCCTGCTCTCCTCTCTGCACATTCACAACGAGCCATGTTTGTTCCAGTGCTAGCACGCCTCTCGCGCGCCCTCTAGTGTCTCCCGGCTGTAACCCGTCCACACATGTGCTCCCAGTACACCATAATGTACATTTCCTATATGTCCCGGTGATTACACACACGGAATGAGGGAGGATAAGAACTCCCGGCCTAGGTACGGCTCCGCCACTACGAGCCTTCGCTGGGTCGGGCTCTGATTGGGCGCGGGAAAGTGACGTCCTGATAACGTAGTCCGGAGCAGTGTAGCTCTGGCGGGAAATAAAGATGGAGGTGGAAATGGAGGATGTCCCGAGCGGGGAGCAGGGGAGTAAGGAGCAGCAGGCCTCGGGGAGTAAGGGGCCGGCCGGGACCTATGAGTTGCCATGGTGAGTATGGTATGGACTCTGATCACTGCGCTCACATTCACAATAACAGACCTGCACTTCTCAAGTGTGTGTGCATGGGACGCTGCACAGCTGGACAGTACTAGGTGCACTGCTGTGCCTCCTGTGCCGGTGACATCCCAGCTGCTGGTCTGTACACAGGTACCGCCTCCTGTTAGGCTGGAGGAAGTATCCATGGAATACAGTGTGCTCATGTCATTGGGCAGATGGGACCTGGCTCAGCACTCACTGATCACTAGGATTAGGTGATGTAACTGTGCACAGAGGGACCCATCTAGTCTGCCTGATCCTGGGGGTGCAGTAACTAAAGTCAGCACTGTGTGTGAGTCATTGTCAGCTGGGAGCTAGTATTCCTTCATCACCCAGTGCCCTTCTGTACTCTGGGAGTAATGTCTGACAGCTAGTACAGAGGGGGTGTGGGGGGGAACAGGCTGACATTAGAATAATTAAACAGCCTGCGCCCTCTTATATCACGGATCCTAGTCAGACTCCTGATACAAATGGCCTCCATCAGAGTGCCCCCTTGGGTCTTTCGTCCCCCGTCAGGAGTTGGCCCCCCCTACCTTGTGTCAGTCGTGTTTTTCTGAGTCCTCCACACCTTGCGTCAGGCGTCTTTGTCGGAGTGCCCCCCCTACCTTGCATCAGGCATCTTTGTCGGAGTGCGCCCCCCCACGTCAGGCATTCTCATCAGAATGCCCCCATCAGAGGTGGCCCTTCTTGTGTCAGTTGTCCTCGTCAGAGGTGGTCCCGTCAGAGTGATCCCACCTTGCCAGTCATCTTTGTCAAAGTAATCCCCGTGCCAGTCGTCTTTGTTAAAGTAACCCCCATCAGGGTGGCCCCTTGCATCAGTCGTCCCCTGTCAGACTGGCCCCTTGCATTGGTCCTCCTCATCAGATGGGACAGCTTTTTCTACTTGGACTGCAAACCTTTCTTTTTGATGAATCTAGAAAGTATTTAGCTGTTTTAAACCTGATCTTGTTCTGTCACGCATGTATATTGACTGCTTTGTTTTATGTAGGGTAGAGAAATACAGACCAATAAAGCTCAATGAAATCATCGGTAATGAAGAAACTGTTAGTCGACTTGAGGTAATTCTTTTCATTACTTTTTAAAACTTTTAATTTTGACTCTCACAAGCTGAGCAATTGGATAATCTGTACCAGTATTGAAACGGTGGGTGGAGCCTCCTCGACAAAACTAAAGGCCCTCATAGATGGCTTCAGTTTCATCTGATGCCTGTTGAATCAGTCAGTGATTGCAGCCAATCAGAGGTAGTCACTGTTTGAAAGTGCCACTGTCCTCAAGCAGCCACGGGGTGCAATGACTGGAAGTGAAGATTCCTCCATCTACACTGTTCGTAATAATGGGGGAATTCATTGATTCTCTCATTTAGCCTGCAAGCTAAACAAGAGAGAATCGAGCAGCGTGTGGCAGCCTTTAGATTGGGCGCTGTTCCTTGGGGGTCCCAAAGGCAAAATCCATTACTGCCAGTACAACTCACTTGGTTTTTACTATGAGAATCCAATGCAATAAAAATCAATACAGGCAGTCGCCAGGTTACAAATAAAAGGTTCCTAAGTTGAATTTGTAAGTAAGTTGGAACAGGTAATTTTTTTTTTTTTTTTTTTTTTTTTTTTGTAGCATAGGTAAGGGTCAACAGCCCTGTAACTTTTTTTTGTTTTTGCTGTCTGTGCCCCTGTTCAGAAGATTTCACCTTGCTTTCTGTCCCTGTGACATTTTTACATTTTGAAAATTTTGGGTTGTTTTGGAAACAAGGATTGGTGATAAAGCTGCAGTGGAGACACCTTTTTCCCTTGATAACTCTTTACAGGAGTGAGTTTCCCTTCCTAGGGGTAGATTTCCTGTTGTCTCCCTTTTGTTTGTAAGTATGAGTCATATGTAAGTCGGATGTATGTAAACCGGGGACTGTCTGTACTGATGCTGGATGTTATTAGTGTCTGTGGTAGAAAAACTCATGATTACTTTATATCTGTTTTAGGTGTTTGCAAGAGAGGGAAATGTTCCAAATATCATAATTGCAGTAAGTATGTTTCTCTGGTATTATCCTGCACAGTAACCACTTGCCCATTCTGAGGATTTCTTATGGCACTGCGTTACTTTAACTGACAGTTGCGTGGTCCTGCAACGCTAAACCCAAATGAAATTTACAGGGTTTTTTTTTTTTTTTCCACAAGTTGAGCTTTCTTTCGGTAGTATTTGATCGCCTGTGCAGTGTTGTGTTTTTTTTTTTTTTTTTTTTTTTTTTTTTTTTTTTCCTAATTTAACTAATAATGGCAGCGTTCAGCGACTTAGTGGGACTGCAGCGGACATTCTGAAACTGGGGGGAACTGACTTGGTGTCACTGACATCCCCAGTGACACCAATACAGTGATCAGTGTTAAAAAAACAAAACAAAAAAAAAAAAAAAAAGCACTGACACTGGGCAGGAAGGGGTTAACATGAGGGGCAATCAAAGGGCTAACTGTGTGCTGGGAGTGTTTTACAGGGGGTGGTGTGTTGGTGCCTCACTGTATGCACACTGCTCTGGATGGCTGTGCACAGCCATCCAGAGCAGTGTGCCCAAGCAGACAGGCAGGAGGACTGCTAGTAAACAAAGCAGCCCTCCTCCCCGTAGGAGAGTCTTGGTAATCACCGGGCGCCGGCGTGTAATCACCGGCTGAGACCCGGTGATTGACAGCCATGGCTGCAAATGGCAGCGCGGGTAGGGCTTGCGCATGCCCCCTGCCCAGAAATGCTAAATCACGTGTATATATACATGATTTTTCGCACCCCTGCCACCCTGTAGCAGTATATCTGCTATAGCGTGGCGGGGAGGCAGTTAAAGGAGAATATAAAATTTAAAATACTCGCCTTTATGCTGCAGCATCAGTTCTATTTCAGCTCCAAGGCCGAGTACGGAGTGATCACACAACCACTGGTAGATCAGTAATCAATCAGTTAAACATGATGCGTAAACATTTGTAATTGCAACAATTTTCTAGGTGAAGTGTGGTGCATTATGTGACAAATACAGGGGTGCCAATATTTTGGGCCATGACTGTATTTAACAGACCAATAGGCAAATAAGAGAAGTTCAGTGTCCGGGTTTACATACTTTTTTTTTTTTTTTTTTTTTCCTGGCTCGTTGGTTACTACTGGTTAGTATAGAGAAGCACTGGGCGAGATTTACTAAAGCTAACTACACCAGATTTTGCTTTCTCCAAGTTTAAGAAATGACCCCACTGTGTTATTTATAACATCAGTGGTAATAATGTATGTGTTAAAAGTAAAACTTACCCTAAAAAGGTTTAAATAACTTAAGTGTTCGCGCACTTGCAGGGTCCACCAGGAACTGGTAAAACCACAAGTATTTTGTGCTTGGCTCGTGCACTTTTGGGTCCTGCACTCAAGGATGCTGTCCTAGAACTGAATGCTTCAAATGATCGGTAAGTTGGCTTTGTAAAATGGTCATCAGAATGAAAACTGCAAGGTGCAATATTCTTTGTAAGAAAATAAAAATTCCTATAACAACTTGTAGCGATTTCCTCCAGTCCCACTTATTATGCAGTTTTGCACATAGAACAGTTACAGAATTTTTTACAGTAACTGCAAGGAAACCAGCACCATTGCAAGTCAACAGTTTTAAAATACATTTGTACTAAATGAAAATCTTGCAATATTGTGAAGTATTTGAACAATGCTGTAGAATGATCACATAATACAAAGTGCACTTATCAGAAGCTATGACTTCAGTGACGCGATGTATATCATTGAAAGATATATAAATAAAGGTGTCTATTTGTAAAACATTTGTTGCATGAATTTCAGAAGCATTTGTGCAAGGCTGAATGAAATGTGTCTGCATTTTTTTTAAAGCGATTAATGCCCGTATCGTCAGCTCCATCTAGAAGCCGAAATGCGGTATAGTTTTCTCATTGAGGTATTTCAGAAAACTCTACAGCATAATGGCCGCTAGATGGAGATGACAATATAGACATTGATCTTAGAAAAATCTTGGTGACATATAATTCAGCTTGCATGACTGCTTCTAACAATCACGCAACAAATGTTTTCTAAATGGTGCCAAAGTCTCTATACGAGCAGAGGAATACATATATTGTGTGGATGCAATACAAAGTAAAATGCAGATGATTGAAGGCCTTTGGAGCCATGAAGAAATTTATGTATATAGATTGGCAGATATTTTGAGTGTATTATGCACCTTTTAGAAATATGATGATTAAGAATAGAATTCAGTGGAATAGCCTGATTTTTTTTTTTCTATTGCCATAATTGTGAAAAAGGTGTCTTCTGCAAAAAAGAAAACTTAATACTCCCCTCTTCAACCTCTTGTGAGGGTGTGTTCCTGTAGTATTTGGACACTTCCTGATTCCCTGCTGTGCTCTGTTACTCCTTCCACCAACCCTACATCCCTCCAGGACTCCGTAAAGATCATGTGTCTTACTGGTCAAGCCACTGGGTGCAGCTGGGAACCAGAAAATTGACACACTAGAACAGTGGTTCTCAACCTTCCTAATGCCGTGACCCTTTAATACAGTTCCTCATGTTGTGGTGACCCCCAACCATAAAATTATTTACCCAGTAATTATAATTCATGAGTGTTGTTTTACCTCCAATACTGCTGCTTTCAACACAGTAGCTGCTTTTAACAGAGTAGCTGCTCTTTACACATCGGAAATATGTGTTTTCTGATGGTCTTAGGGGACCCCTGTGAAAGGGTTGTTCGACCCCCAAAGGGGTCACGACCCAAAGGTTGAGAACCACTGCACTAGAAGTTAGTCCTTCCTCTATCCTTGTGTGCAAGCCATGAGTGGGAAAACATGCTAATGAAGGTTTTTTTTGGGAGAGACATTACTGTATGTAGTTAATTCATTGAATATTAAATACTGCAAGAGGAGCTAAGTGAAGTGCAGCTGACTTTCTTTCATATTCTTAATGGAAAGTGGAGATTTACTACAGTGGTCACAATGGTCAGCACCCAGTATATCCATGTATACGATAGGCTAGTCTTGAGTGGAGCTATGGATCTGTGTGTGTTTCTGGTAATTTTTCTTTGCCTTCCCTAGCTCATTCCTTTCCCCCTCAGCAATATACCAATGAAATGCTTCAGTAAAATATTTTTTCATATATATATATATATATATATATATATATATATATATATATTATAATATTTTTTTTTTTTTTTTTTTTTTTTTTTTTTTTTAATATCACTGGCTGTTTGTTCTTCTCTGTGATTCAGATCATGGCTGGTGGGAGAGACTGTCAGGGTGCTTTATGTCCAGCACACTGCATCAGTACTCCACTGAGCAGTCCTCTGCCCTGGTGTAGAGTAAGCAATTTCAGGAGATGAGTCTTCATAATTGTGCAGGACTTTTAGGTTAAGGTATGAGTTCAGCTTTAAGCAACATGATTCTCTGAGTTTATTTATAATTCACTGTCCATCTGAAATTTCTTGTGTTAGCAGGCATGACAGGTGTGTCATAATAATATTTTTTATATAATTTTATATTTTTTTTTTTTTAGAGAGGCATTGATGTGGTGAGGAACAAGATCAAAATGTTTGCACAGCAAAAGGTTACACTTCCGAAAGGCCGGCATAAGATCATAATACTGGATGAAGCTGACAGGTGATTTCCTTTTTACTAAATGAAATGCCATCTGAAACTTTTATTCCTTGTTTTCAAATGTCATAATTCCAGTGTCCTTTTACCAATTAAGCTAGATTGCAGTGATTTATTTGTGGTGTTAGTGCAGTCTATTGTCAATCTCACTAGTGGGAATACAGAGTGTACTTTTTTAATGTTCTATTTTAATTTTCTGTAGCATGACAGATGGAGCACAACAAGCTTTAAGACGAACTATGGAGATCTATTCAAAGACAACACGATTTGCTTTGGCTTGCAATGCCTCTGATAAAATTATAGGTTAGTCCAGTCTGTTTGCTACGTTCAGTGGCTAGACTTGATCCTCACCTGGTTCAAGGACTCCTGATATTTATTTATTTTTCTTTTCTTCTCTCTATTCCCCAGAACCCATCCAATCTCGATGTGCTGTGCTTCGCTATACAAAGCTTACTGATTCACAGGTTCTTGCAAGGCTAATGACCGTCGTAGAGAAGGAGAATGTTCAGTGCACAGATGATGGTCTTGAAGCAATCGTGTTTACAGCACAAGGAGATATGAGACAGGTAGTTGCCGGACTTTGATAATGTGGTGATTCATTTATTTTGATTTCTCTCATTCTTTGTTTTTGTCTAACCGAGCTTCATTATCAGAGTGAAAGAAGAATGATTTGTGTAGCCTGGTAGAACTTCCTTGCAGTGGGAAGTACCAGTTGGGCCAGTTCAGGAAAAGAAAGTGTTGGGCACTTCTTCATTAATTTTTTTTTTTTTTTTTTTATAGATGTACCTTTTTAGAAAGGCTCATGTCAGTCTGTTTCGGTTTTATTTTTGAAAATGCACCCCTTGCTTTTGACACTGCTTTGCTGTTTCTTTCCCTCCCAGGCTTTGAATAACTTGCAGTCTACATGTGCTGGCTTTGAGTTTGTGAACAGCACCAATGTGTTTAAGGCAAGTGTGTAATTTTTGTTCAGTACTTTTTTTTTTTTTTTTTTTTTTTTTTTTTATGTTAGTACTGTAGCAACATGCCTCTAAAAAAGATTTTTATCTTTCAGGTTTGTGATGAACCACATCCACTGTTGGTAAAAGAAATGTTACAGCACTGTGTGAATGCAAACATTGATGAAGCATACAAGGTTGGTATTGTAGATGTTCCTTATTTTACTTAACCACTTGGGGACACTACACACAAAAACACTTCTTGTGTTTTGTAAACCTCAGACACGAAATATAAACAAATCATATCCATGTATATACTTGTCTCAATCCAGGGCACTAAATGTCATATTTTTTATTTTTCTGCTGCCTAGTTACTCCACTATCTGTGTATGAGTCACTTCTGACAGGTTTTACTGACACCAAGAGATAGGCAGGGATCTCTAGCACACAGCCTATGATTGATAGCCTAAGTTTTGTTGCTGTATAAAGAGGGGGGTGTCCCTTCCCTCCAAGTAGCTCTCACTAAGCTCTGCAGAGTGTAACTTCAGCTCCCTACCCCCTGCTTTCTGGAAGCTCAGACAAGCTGTATAATCTCTGGAGTTTAAACTGCTGAAGAGAAGACTGCAGGTAGACAGGTACAACTTTGTTTTTATTTCTGTGTATTTCCTGAGGCTCGTTACATCACTGGGTATATGTAAGGGTTTACAACAACTTTAATGTGCACAGGATGTGTAGCAAGTAGAGTTCTTCTGCTGTGCCTCCTTTTCCATTTGCCAGTAATTCCCAGCTCTTAAAAAGTCAGATGTTTCTGTGTAACAGCAGCTCTAGCAGTTGCTTCTGTCGAGAAAAAAAAAAAAAAACATTTGACACTGTTTAGACATGATATGGGGAGATACAAAGGAAGTGTATCTACTGTTTCATTTCATCTGCAGATCAAAGGGCTTCAGTCTGCAGATGTCAGTTATCTGACAAGTGAAAAATGTGTATTTTTATATATTTATTTTTTTTGTCTCTAGTTAACCCCTCCATTAATGCTTCGTATGCCCTAATCGGACCTAAATAACTCTTCCCCTTCTCTGTTTAAATATTTTCTTGCTGATTTTATTTTTTTTGTTTCTGTCTTGCTAACCATTAATTTTTTTAAACTTTTTATTTTTGTATTATTAGGGGGGGAAAAGAGCAATATGGGGGGGGGAGAAGAATTTTATTTCAGTTTTGTAAATGTGTAATTTTAGTGTTATTTAAGCACAACAAATAATATTGACAGTAATAACAATTTGAAAGTCATTTAAATACATGTGTTCATGTTATATTTTCACCCTGTAAAGAAAAATTTAAAAAGTCAGCTACAAATACTGTAGCTACAGATGTTTTAAAAAAAAACACCCATTTCCTGTTTTCTGGTGTGTACCGGTATGTCTTAATATCAATACATTAACTTTTTTAATTTATATTTATTCTGGTCTCCGTTTCTAAATGTAGCTACACAGATCTGGTCTTCTCTCTGCAGCGTAGTAAAAATGGATATTATTTATCTTAGTCCCGTGTAGACTAAGATTCAGCTCTGCAGTCAATTTTGCAACAGTTATTTTCTTATTCCAGGTTATAATTCTGTGCAATGTCTTTTTTAGTCTTTCGTACACCATGTTGAGTATGCTTATCAGACGACATTTTCCTGGAAACTATATATTCCGTCATAACCTTTGATACTGTATTTTGTGATGCTGCATAAAAACTGGCTACTTCAGTCAGAGGCCATCTAAGCAGGCACCAACAATTTGCCCTCTTTGAAGCTTAGTAAGCTCTGACATTACTCCGTAGTACTAGCCACGGACACATTGAATGACGAAAGTGAGGCTTCCTACCTGTTAGCTAGGTGTCTCATTACACAGCGGAAGCATAAGAACGTTACATCACTTCCACTTTCAATGCGAAACATATCGTCCCTTTCACACCTGTAGATCGTGAGTAGTGTTTCCATTTTTATGTCCAACCCCTGTATCCTGAATGTTCATGTTTGTCTAGCATTGGGCCAGCCATAGATGGTTCAGCAGGGACTGGACAAAATTCGATCCATCTATGGGCAGGCTGGTTGTACTGAAGTCGATCCATCGATTTGACTTCAGTACAACCGGCCTGTTGGTTTTTTTTTTTTTTACTGACATCTGCTACAGTCGTTAGCAGTAATCATGGTGTCCTGCCGGCAAGAAAGGCTCCTCTAGCAGAACACAATAGCGCGTGGGAAGGATTCATTATCAATGTTGATGGGGGGTAATCAAGCGATTCTCTTTACCTGTGGTTGCAGGAAAGAAGATTGCATCATCTATGGCCTGCCTTCGTCTACTGTTACATAGAAACAGCATCTGTTGTTTTTGTTAGAACATGGATATATTTTGTGATTTTTAAAGGTTTTAACTATTGCAGATAGTGGCTCATCTCTGGAAACTAGGTTACTCCCCAGAAGACATCATCAGCATTATCTTTCGTGTGTGCAAGACTTTCCAGATGCCTGAATATCTCAAGCTGGAATTCATTAAGGTAAATTTTAACTGGTGGTATTAAGTGATTTTGTTTTTTTTTTTTTTGGTGAGGAAGAAAACACAAGCATATTTCCTTATGTTGGGAGTGAAAAAAAAAAATCCAGAAGTGTGACAACACCAAATGGATGCCAAGAAAAACAAATCAGGATTATCAGAAAAAGAAAAGAATATGATGCCAGTGGTTGCCTGAGTACAGCAAAATCTCTAGAATCTTTTCTAAGCATAAGGTAGTCCTACCTGACAGCTTCTATATACAGGGAAGGATATCTCATTTTCAGGATTAATTCTAGCATACATTGAAAGTAAAATCTGTCTTCAAATTGAGCTAAGGTCCGTGAGTTATGGTGTTGCGGTAGAGACGAAACTGAGGATGGAGTGTCTGTACCAAACACGCTGTCCTCCAGTGCAATTCAGTAACGTTATGATGTGGAATCCATTAACCTTACAGGATCAGCATCTCTTAGCACATAATAAGAAAGAAGGGTCTTTTTAAATGTAAGCTAATGTTTTGTAGCATGATTACTTATTTTGACAGATCCTCACATTGCACAGTTGCATGATTTTGTTAATTTTTGTTGATCTGATTAATTAAAAAAAAAAAAAAAAAAAACAGAATTCTGAAGGTCAGCGGTGAGGTGGCCAAGCTTTAATTTAATCCTGACTAATAATAAAAGGTTACCATTGTTGGACTCCTTATGAAAATACTCATTGCCTAGGTTTCTGTGGCTTCCATTTTTAGGGTAGTATTAAACTCCTCAGATTTTAGGAAGACTACATTTTGATGAAAAATTTTCATCCCTTAGTAGATGTATTTTATATTTGTGCCAAATCTGCCATGTCCTGCAATTTCTGAACTTCCTGTCAGAGAGAGCATGCACTTACTGTATCACCTGGCTATAGTCACAAGAGACTGCATATCCCTGAGCTGCTTCCAATCAATTAACTTGGGGGGGCAGGTCAGTGGATTGCTGTCTTTAGGCTTCGGGCTGTGTGTTTGTGTGGGCATATACAGTACAGGGACAATTGGCTAGGAGGGTGCATGCAAGGGTGGCTCCATAAGAACCTGCAAGGCAGTGGAGTCACCCTAAAACTGTAGCCCTGCAGCAGTGATCATGGGACCAGCTCAATAAGGCATGTGATATTTATTTTAAATAAGATGAAGCAGTATACAAGGTAAGTGCTATGCCGGTTGCTGTAATGATTACATTTTACAGTTTAATAACATTTGGGAATTGCTAACCATAATTAAAATGAGTAAGGTCAATGATGTGCATGTTTTTTTTTTTCTGGGTTAGTGGTTTAGAAAGCAATTGGAGCCATTGGATAATGGTCAGCAGTAGCTGCCTCCATATTTTATCTTGGTACAGATTTCCCATCCGGCCCATGTACATAACCGGCCGGATGGGAGCAGTGCCGAAGTGGTGGCCGTTTATAAATGGCCCCCCCACATTTACTGCCTGGGAGTGCGCGGCACCACGATCCAGTGTCTGCTCTGTCTTGAGGACACAGTGGAACAGCGATCACTATACGGGACCTCTGTGTGAGGTCCTGATTCATGTGATCACTGATTGGTGAATCAGTCATCACATGTATAGTAGTAAACAAGATGTCACTTCCTGACATCATTGCTTGCTACTAGTAAAATCTGTGAATGATCAGAGGTCACATGGTACAGGGCTATTCACAACAGCCTTGTACCATGTGACAAGCAGTGACCAATCACAGCTCTCACAGTATTTTCAATGGCTGCAAGAATGTAGCCAGAGAGAGAGAAATGATTCCTTTTACAGCCTTTATGGGTATAAAAGCAATCTGTGTAAAAAAAAAGAAAAAAATCATCCCCCCCCCCCCCCCCCCCACAAATGGTACGGTGTCACTATGGTGACACTGTACTGCTAGGGTGACAGTATGTTAAAAAAAGAAAACATAAATAATATAAAAAAAAATTTTAAATTCTAATTTTTGGTTATAAACTAATTTTGGGTTATTATATTTTTGTTTTTTGTTTTTTTTTACTAAAAAGATAGCTGAATACATTTTGGCCAAGATTTATGAAGAGAGACTATTTGCAAAATTTTATAAGAAACACATTTTTAACAAAAAGAAAAATGTTTGGACTTTTTCATTTTCTATAGCAAACAATAAAAATCAGTGGTGAATAAATACCACCAAAATAAAGTTTTTTTTTTTTTTTTTTTTTTTTTTTTTTTTTTTTTTTTGTTTAGCATTTTTTTTGAGAAAAAAAAAATTCATACAGTGTAGCATGACCACACAATTGTCATTCAAAGTGTGATAGCACTGAAAGCTGAAAATTGGCCTGGACAGGAAGGGGGTGAAAGTGTCCAGACTTGCGGTGGTTAAAATAGTTCTAAATTCTAATTAGATGACATTTTTGTTTGCCGAAGCACTGAATCATAAACTGTGTGTAATTTTTTTTCCTTTTTGAAAATGCTATTTTACTTTTTTTTTCTTTTTTTTTTTTTTTTTCATTTTTGCAGTCCCACTTTTGATCGCCTGCATCCTCTTTACTGCTACATCATTACCACATAATTTCTAAGGGGCTGATTTTCTCTGAGGGTACTAACAAATTTTACTTTTTGCAGGAAATTGGCTACACACACATGAAAGTTTCAGAGGGTGTAAATTCTCTTTTACAAATGGCTGGACTCCTTGCACGTCTGTGTCAGAAGACCACAGTGTCCACAAGCTAACATGTACTACTGTTATGTCATAAAAATACCTGTTTGTTATTTTTTTTTTATATGTCTTATTTGATAAAGGATATCTATTAAGCTCTAAAAATGTGTGCGGTTTTTTTTTTTGTTTCTCCCCCCCCCCCCCCCCCCCCCCCCCCCCATGTTTTACACCCTCTGCACTTGTGCCATATGTTCTGGTTTTATCATTTTATTGCGGTTTACCCCCTTTTACTGCTGCTCTACATTTTATGAATAGCGGAAGGATGGACATTTATTTCTGCAAAGGGGTTTGCAAATAGAATTACAGAAAACACCCTTGGGCAGCCAGTGTGCACACTGATTGAGTCACCTCAGATCACAAAATGGCTGACGCACTTCATCACAGTGATCTCATGTGTCAACATTGTAGTACTGTGCAACCAGTCCCTCTCTCCTCTTAGGCTAGGTTCACACTTGTGCTAGTGGTTGTCGCTGTAGGACTGCACCTGTTTCCGCAAACACCTGCAGAGAAAAACATCCTAATAGCACACCATTCACTGGAAACCATGCTGCACTAAATGGTTTACCTGCACCCATGTTTTCTGAAAAGGGGCAGGTACCTTTTTTTTTTTTTTTTTTTTTTTTTTTTTTTTTTTTTTTTCCCTTGCGCTTTTCAGTGGATTCAGCAGTCTAGTCAAGTGAGTGGGACTACTGTGTATGAACAAACGCAGCAGTTGGGGAAACTACATATATGTGAACCAAGCCTTAGATCATGTCAGAGTGAGAGGGCAACTGCTACCAAAGCTGTCAGTAATATATTGGGGGAGATTTACGAAAAACTGATGCACTTTGAATTTGGTGCAGCTGTGCATAGTAGCCAATCGGCTTCTAACTTCCAGCTTGTTCAATTAAAGTGCTATTAAAAGAGTGTGTGTGTGTGTGTGTAACAAACATATCGTACTTACCTGCTCTGTGCAATGGTTTTGCACAGAGCAGCCCCAATCATCTTCCCCTGCCAATGCTCCAGACCCTTCCCACTTGCCTAGTGACCCATATGAAACCGCTTGCTATGGGGTACCTGAGTAGGCTTGCTCCTGAGCTGCTGCTTTGTACACACACACTGCAGCTCGGCCCTGCTCCTGCTTTCTCCTCATTGGCTGTGATTTGACAGAAGCACCATCCAATGGCTAATGCTGCTGGCTCAGCCAATGATGAGGTTGAATGCATTACTGTATCAGGATGGGGATCATGTACGTTTCAGGGGGACTGGGGGCACTGCAGTACACAGGTTTTTGTACCGTCATGCATGAAGGTAAAAGACCTTCAGCTTTTTCAACCACTTTAAAGTGATACTAAAAGCAAAATTTTTTTTTTTTTTTAATTATAACAAACATGTCATACTTGCCTGCTCTGCAATGGTTTTGCACAGAGCAGCCCTGATCCTCTTCTCAGGTCCCCTGCCTGTGCTCCTGGCCCCTCCCTTCCATTGAGGGCTCTCGTAGCATGCAGCTTCCTATGAGGGCACCTGAGAAGACATGCTCCCGTGCCGCTGCTCCATCTGTTCATCCACATGGAGCTGCGGCTCGGTCTCGCCCCCACTCTTCTCACTGGCTGTCATTGACAGCAATGGGCGCCAATGGTTCCCACTGCTGTCTCGGCCAATGATTAGAGGGAGTCCTGAGATAGCTGAGGCTCCAGTGCACAATGCTGGATCCAGAGGGAGCTTAGATGAGTATTAGGGGGGGATACTGTACAGAGAAGGTTTTTTTTTTTTACCTTCGTGCATGGAAAGGTAAAAAAAAAAAAAAACTTCAGCCTTTACAACCACTATAAGCTTTGGCAATAACACCTGAAAGCTGATTGGTTTCTATGCAGAATTGTACCAAATTTTGCCCTCTTCAGTTCTAGTGAATAACCCCATTGTATCAATGTTTGCCATTTTTGTTTAGTTTTTTTTGTGGTTTTCCTGCACAAATGTCCAAAAATAGTTCAGGAGACATCTACTCTTAGTATGACAGATATCCATGAAGAAATCTCTGATTCTAACTTTGAACCTGCAGAAAACAGTGCCACTTCTGGTTTCACTGAGGAAGCAGATCCTGCTAAAACAATTTACAACCCAGCTTTTCAAATCCAATATCCAGTTTGTTGTGGGGATGGGGGAAGTGAATCTCAAGATAAACCCATCCAAAGGATCCTGCAGCTGCCAGTAGACCCAGGAAGATCCAAAAAAGATTGGAAAGACAAAAGAAACAGCAGCGCAAAATCTCCGTCAGTGATATGTGATTTTATAGAAACAATTAAAATTAGTACACTTACGTGTAAAGTTCTTGGCAAGCTGCTCAGGTACAGATCTCCGTATGGAAATAACATTGAGTGTGTTTAGTACACAACCGTTTCAACTCCCTCAGCTGGCCTTTCGAGGGACTGAATTTTGGCGGATGTCAGAGACCGCTAATGGCTGACACCGCTAGCACTGCCTCATGGATCTCTGTACACTGTTGGAAAGATAGGAGAGGGAGGGGTGGTGATGCGTTTTTAAAGGACACACCTTCTTTGTCATAACCTGCCCCTAATGATTGTATGTTGTCAGCTATGCCAGTGAAGACCAGCGGTCATCGTAACATAATGAATAATGAAAAAATTACAATAAAAAAAGTCTCCAACATTGTATTGTAACATTGCCAGCAATGTACATGCTATTTAGATAAGGGAGGAGGCATATTGGTGTCCTATTGGTGTGAACGAGCCCTCATGGGTATTGATAAGTAATAGAAGACTTAGAGGCCCTAAGTATTAAAAAATATAAGGAAGAAATTATCTTGAAAAAAAGGGATTAAAAGTTTAGAAAACGGAAAAGACATAGTAATACGCCCGGCAGATAAGGGAGGAGGCATAGTGATATTATCCAAAGACTACTATGAGTCTACTATGAATAATATGTTAAGTGATGTTGATACGTACAAGAAACTTAATAGTAATCCTACCAAAGCCTACAAGAAATAATTAACTAAACTTATACAGTATGGGAGCAGAAAAGGAATTCTAAATAATAAAGAGGAAAAGTATTTGGTACCTTCAGTTTGTAAATTACCCAAAATTTATTCAGTTACGAAGATATACGAAGATAGCAGCAATCCACCGGGTAGACCAATTATCAATGGTATAGACTCCTTGACATCTAGCTTAGGTGAATACATTGATAATTATTTACAATCATTGGTGGAAAAAACACCAGCCTACCTCAGAGACACAAAGCATGTCATACAATTGACTAAAAATTTAAATGTAAATATAAATCCAATTTTAAGTACAGCAGATGTCTCCTCGTTATATACATATATTAACCATGAAGGTGCTATAGAAGCTGCAAAGTGGGCCCTAAATAAATATTCTAATATTCCAAGCAAACATCAAAGGTTTATTTTAAAATGTTTGAAATTTTGTTTAGATCACAATTATTTCTGGTACAGCAATGTATATTTTTTACAAGTAGGAGTAGCAATGGGCACCAAGTTCGCCCCAAGTATAGCCAATCTGTATATGGCTAAGTGGGAAGAAGAGTTCATTTTCCATAATACCAGAAAATAAATACATATGTATAAAAGATGTATTAAAGATCTACTGATTATATATAAGCAAAGCAGGGAGAAGGAACAAAGAGATTTACTAAAAAGCAGCACACAATACACACATTACACTTGTTAGGCACACATTTAGCCCCTGGATTACCCCAAGATGTTAACCCCTCCCTGTGACGGACACGGAATCAGACCCCAGCCCTTCTCACCAAACTCTTTTGACCGAAGGACTAGCCAATCTAAAACTGCGCTGTCACGGGAAAAACAATGCCACACTCAGCTGCACCCTACACAACGATTTTCCAGCTAATGGACCACAGATCGATGTACCGGCAGCCTGAATGCGCTTGTTACTGGGTCAGGTTAATTACGCAATTAACCCTTCACACTGCCACCACCTTTTTTATACAGAGAAAGAGGAAACTCATCACTACACTAGGATGATTGGTTAATCGACAGTATACCGCTATCTCTACAGACCGGTTATACAGAGGCTTAAACACTCATAGTAGCGTTCTTTTAGAGGCAGGAATTCATAAATTGCAATACAGAGCTATAGAAACAGTTCAACACTTTCAGAAAGAAAGATTTATTACTAAAAGGTCAAACAGGTGCAATAAAAATATTTACAGAAAAGATGTAACTATGATATATATATATATATATATATATATATATATAAAAATATACAGAGCACAACAGCACAGCAAACAGAGAATAGGAAGATGTTTAGGTAAATAAGTACTTGCGAAATAAATGCCTGGGGTTAAGCAGTTTCCAGTCTGATGAGCTAAAGAAGGGATTTCTGGTCTTGCACTTAGTTGCGATGGTCTAACAAGACTCTTGGTCAGCTAGATGGTACAGAGCCGACAGTCCTCACTCCTCTGACTGAACACAAAAGAAACATTTCTTTCTTCTACTCAAAATCTCTTCCCACAATGGACAAAGCCAATACCTTATTTGGCAAAAGAATTGTTAGGCAGGGCTCAGCATCATACGCTGCTTGCATTCCTGAGGGAGGGTAATGAGAAGATACATGAAGCCTTCTCAATACAGTGAGCCTGTGTCTGGCTCTGTGTGCACCCCTCCCCCTTCAGGTGTTTGCATAGGAGTTTAAGAGAAATATCAAAATGCAGAAATTTGGAGCAAAATGGAGAACTGCACCTCTCCCTGTGTGCATGATTGTGACACTCCCCAGCCTTGTCAATAGTATAGACAGTATTATCAATGATATAGTAGTATTATCACTGATCACTGTATTATTGTCACTGGTGATGTCAGTGTCAGTTCCCACCCAGTCAGCTAGTGTAAGATTGCTCGCCGCACTATCACAGTCCCAATAGAAGTCTCTGATCACCACCATTAGCAGGATTAAAAATTTCCAGTATATATAGCATAGTTTGTAGATGCTATAACTATCACGCAAACCCATGAATATCTACTTATTAGGATTTT